ATCCCAATCCGGGTGGGAGAAAGTAATGTTGTAAAGGCGGGCCCACTTCCCAAAGACCCGCTTCTCGGTGATGAACCGGTGATGGTTCCCTTTCCGACTCCGCTCGTTGTGGATGTACGTGGCGCACTCGTCCGGCCCTTTGGGTTCGTAGTAATGGTAGGGCAGCTTGTGGGGTGGAGGCTTCGCGCTATGGAGGTAGAAGAACCAGGGCATTGAATAAGACAAGGAAGAGGGAGGGAGGAAAAAAAACACCCAGCGGGCCCCCCACAAGATCTTTGGGAGCAGGTGGTACTTACATGCAATAGTTCGGGGGCACCATCCCATAAACGTGGACCTTGTCACACAGTTCGACCGCGATCACCATGGTGAACCAGCCGGTGCTCAGCCACGACCGAGACGTTGTTCTGTGGAGGTGATCATATCAACGATTGAATTTTAAATTATACTAATGGGGTGGGTGGGTGTCCCATCCCAACGACGTGGCTTGCTGGTGATCAACGTCCTGTTTTCTCTGCTGCGCGCCTTCCTCTTGACTATAGGCTGTAATTAATTGCAGGCGACATATTGCAGGTGACACCAGTCCTGCTTCATGACAACGGGTTTTATTTCTTGGGTCTTTATGCAACCCCGTCATGCAGATTTCAGTCTAGTGAAGCCTGTCAAAAAGAAAACACCCCCCAGAACCACCGCTCTAAAGGACGTTGCATTTTCTGACCACTAGGTGGCAGCAACTGCCATAACAATCATAGTCTTGGGACACTTGATTTTAAAGCAGGGCTGTCCTCTCCATTGGGTAGGAGGACATGACTGCCTCAGGCGGCATATTTGAAAAATCATGAAAGGGCAGCAAAGTGCTGTCTATTTATTATTGGTTCTTTCCTCCTCGGGATAGGTAGAGGTAACTGAAGAATCTATGGCTTCAATTTTGTGGCAATCAATTCCACAAGCAAAAAAAGAAGGTCCCCACTTATATTTCATGTACAGTGATGCCTTGCTTAATGGCGATAATCCGTTCCAGGAAAATCGCCATTAAGCGAAAACATCGTAAAGCGAAAATAAAAAGCCCACTGAAACGCACTGAAAACCTTTCAATGCGTTCCAATGGGCTTAAAACTCACCGTCCAGAGAAGATCCTCCATATGGCGGCCATTTTTGCTGCCTGTATAGCGAGGAATCCGTCCCTAAACACAGCGGGGAGCCATTTTATCTACCTGGTGGCCATTTTGAAACCACCGATCAGCTGTTGGAAAGTCATCGTTTTGCGAAGGATCGGTTCCCGAAGCAGGGAACCGATCATCGCAAAGCAAAATTCCCCCATTTAGACCATCTTTTTGCGGTCTCAATTGCGATTGCAAAAAGATCATCGTAAAGCGGATTTGTCGTAATGCGGGGCAATCGTAAAGCGAGGCACCACTGTACTTACAATTGCATTTTTTAAAAAAACAGCAAGAATGGAAGAATGTTTTCCATCACATATGAAGACATATGCCAACAAAAGTCAACACTTGACTGCTGCCTCTCAGAAATTGCCACCTGAGGCAGAGCTCTCCACCTACCTAATGGCGGAGCTGGCACTCTAGCAAATCTCCCCTTTTAAACCCTTCAAGCAGGGTTGGGAGGAAGCCCTCCTCACCTGTCCTTCCCCGTCTCCTTTTTGAAGAGGTCATCAAACTGCTTCATGCGTTTGGCCGATGCCACGAAAGCCGACACGTTGGGGAAAGACGCGCAGACCCGCTGAATGACTTTGTTCAGACTTTTCTGCATCCGGGGAGGCGGCCCCCAGAAAATCAAAACATTCTCCGGCGTCTTGTTGACAAACTCCTGGGGCCTCTTGAGGACCCGGTAGACGCTCGAATGGGCCACGACCCGGAACGTGGTTTTGTTCCCGACGTCCACCGAGTAGCCCGTGGTGGGAGCATCGTTCATGCGGATCGTGCATTCGGATTGGTCGATGGTGGGCCCCAACTTGCTCCCAAGCAGGTGGCTGGAACTTGTGATGATCACACACTGACTGCAGTGACGATCCAAAGTCTGGAAGGGAAATTTGTTTAGACAGGCAATCCTGTCTCTTTCCTAGATTTACATGCAGATGCCTACTCTTAGTCCTCCTTCCTTCCTTCCTTCTCTTCAGAGGTTACTTCCTGATTCTTGTTCCTCCTAGCTGGAGAAAATGAATTTCCCCATAATGCCTACAGTCAGGGAAGCCAGACTTAGGGGTTTCTGTAAATAAGCTCAGCAACCTTTCCCTCCTGCCCTATCCCTGAAGATTTTAAAGTTCCTCTTTCAAGGTATCCGAGTCTTATCTTTCTCCCCCTACCTTGTTCCCAGAGACAGGAAGGTATCCGCTCTTGGCCCCCCAGTTTTTGAGACTGGATGGCAAGTCAGGTTTCCCTCGCAAGGTGGCATAATGGAAGACCTCGTTCCGGCTGTTGGAGTTATAAATGATGAGCAGCATCAGAAGGCCGAAGACGATCACAAGGACGACGGCCGGCGGGCTCTGCGGAGGGAAGAAAAAGAGAGAACGAGAGTTAAGGAGGAATCACGTCCGGATTGGAAAGAGTTCAGAGGCTTGTGGCTTTGCCTACAGGGAACCTGCTCGGACCAAATCCAGGTCAAGGCCGGTCCTACCACAAGGCAGAGGGAGCACCTTTCCCCATGGCTGTTTTCAAGGATCGCTCAGTGGTCAGCCTAAAGGAAATATGGACATTTCTACATCTTTACAAAACAAGCTTTATTGATTTATCTGCTTGTTTTCTTTATAGGCCGCCTTTCTCCCGATATGGGGACCCAAGGCGGCTCACAATATCAAAAGGAAAGAACTGAAAACCTAATAGGTTCAACATTAAAAAGCAATTAAAGACAGTTGAATCATTACAAGCAAGTAAACATTAAAAACTATCTTACCGTACACCAATTAAAAGACAGTTGAATCATTAACAGCAAGTAAACATTAAAAACTATCTTAACTTTAAAAAGAGATTCAGGGAGTCAATCATGATGGTTAAAAGTTGTCGTTTCCCGAACGTTTTCTTCATGTGTCTGCTTCTTCAATAGAAAGAGGAAGAAACAGACACTGGGTGTAACTTCCTGAAGTGTTTGCAATTAGATCACAACATGAAATATTTAATTTTTCCAGCTCAAGAGCCGTTACCACACACTCTGGCCTTGCCTTGGCAAAGAAGCAAAATTCTCTCTCCCCTTCCACGCGACCTGCGGTTTGTCAAAAATCGGCATTCCTTGTTCATCCTTTTCTGCCAATTCTATACAAAACAGTATAGTATTTGCTTTTATTAACTGTTGTCTATGTTGTCTTTTCTTATTTTTAATTGATCGATATAATGTTTCTTCTATTTTTTAAACATTGTTGTTATGTTTAGGTGGATATTATTTAACCTGCAGTTGGTGTTTATTTTGTTGTGAACCGCCCAGAGTGGCCTTAGTAAGCCAGATGGGTGGTGGACAAATAGGAACAACAACAACAACAACAGTAACAGACAACAACAGTAACAGTAACAGTAACAACAACAACAACAGTAACAACAACAACAACGACAACGACGACAACGACGACAACGACAACGACAACGACAACGACAACGATAACGATAACGATAATA